ACCTTGAGTTCAAATTCTACAACTCTCACAAAGTTTCCCAATCTTCTTCTTGATGAACTTCCTCTCAAACCCTCTTTCTCTCTAGTTCCCTCTCTCCCAGGAGATATTTGTATAAGGTTCCAAGTTAAAAATTCAAAGAGGCTCATATATATATACATAACATACAAAGGTTGAATAGGACAAAACTCAATCAATTTAATCAGTCCAAATCAAATTTCCACAAAAATGCTTATTATTACGTAAAAATTAAGCTGATCTCAAATGTAAAATCAATTTCAGATTATTAAGCTTCTAAGGCTCTCAATTTCTGATCCAAACATATAATTGCGACAGATATTGTTTCTTCTTAAACAGATATAGGCCTCTAGTCATAAGATTCATTTGCCTAAACACATTGCCACAAAAAAAAAAATAATAATCTCACAGTAAGTATTTAAATGCGCACAATGAGGGACTGAAAATATAGCAGAAACACATACGAGGGTCGGGTTATTACAGTAACAGTATCAAAAAAATCAGAATTTCGATACTTAACGGAGCTCGGCTTCTCTCAAGAGAGTGTTTGGACTTGGTAGGTCCATTTTGGAACCGATTTTGATGATCTGAACCATTCACTTTTTAGAACATATTAAGTATAAAATTAATCCAACAAATAAGATAATCGGATATTGATAGTTATATGTTTAAATCAAACTTGTATTACAAAACATGGATGGCTAATCTTAAAATTATATTTGTCATCTATTTTTTTAAAACAAATATGATTCAAACATATACCTACCGATATTCAAACATCTTTATTTTTTTACATTAATATTCTACTTAATGAGTTTTTAAAATAAACGATTTGAATTATCCAAATCAATTTCAAAATAAGTCTACTGAGTTTAAAATACTCTCTCAAATTAAAATAACAATTTGAGATAAACCAAATCCTAAGATCGCTTTTGGCAATATCTAAAAAGGCCAATTTATTGGATTACTGACTTATTTTGGTTACATTACTTTTCTACTTTTTTACTCAAAACAATCTTAAATGCCAATATTGGTTTGGCAATACCATAAATAAGCTACTTATTTGCTTATTTTAGTTATATCACTTCTCTGCTTTTTTGTAGGAGTGGGAATTGGGCACGTAACCCATTAACGCGACTCAAATTGTACACGTAATTAGAGAGTTAGGGTTAATCATTTTTTTTACTCGAACCCGAATATGATACGATCCAAAAATACGAATATTAAATGAGTTGTGTTTGGATTGAACACACGAAACTCGAAATGGACACATTTGACCTGCATAAATATTTGTGTCAGCACATTGATACGAACTCACTATTGACTCACATGTAATCCGAATACAATCTGAATTAATAACCACAAGATCTTAAGTAATTCATTATCATTCGTTAAATTAAAACTCAAGTCTATATAATATGTACTTAATGAGATGCAACCCTAAATTAATAATGAAGTGCAACCCCCAATGAGGTTGGCATAGTGGGTGCAACTTGGGATTTAGGGGTGTGCTCCCTCTAAGTTTCAGATTCAACTCTTATTAGGAACAATCTATTCTTTGGAGCCACGCCAGCAGTCTTTACCCGAGATTTGCCCGATCCACATACAAGGGACGCTTTGCGTGGGTTCTGAAATAAGTCCAAGTGCGCATAAACTAGTCTAAACATCTGATAATGAAATAATAATAATAATAATAATAATAAACCGGCAAAAGTTAAGATGGATAGATCAGAGATTTTTTGAATGTGTCACAGCATTGTTTTTGTGATAGGAGTCAATATCAAATAATCACACAATGTTACTTTGGATGCGGCATAGTGGTAACATTATTATTATTATTATTATTAGTTTGGTATTAGATAAAAATTTGTTTTGATTTTAAAATTTTATTGGATATTTAAATATTAATAATGAGTGACAATAGTTTAAATTGGATGTATAATGGATTAGTAATGGATATTTTTAATTATTTTCATAGATATTGACATATATATTATTATTGTGCATCAATGTTTAAACAAGTTATTCTTATACATGTGATGTAAAATAAGTTTTATTTTATTTTTAATGGGCAGTTCAATTTACTCATAATCTGAAATATAAACTTTGATAATCGTATTAAGCCTATCATGTTAGGGTTAACATGATTATAAGTAGATCAGGTTAGTATCAAGACAATTGACACGTTTAACATATACTATGTTAGTGTTGAATTGTTTTAAATATGAATATAACATGACACGACATGATAAGATTCTCACTTTCAATTTTTTACACATCTTTTTATAATAAAAAAAAATTAACTTATAAATCCTACCTAAAATAATCGGTAACAAATAACTGAATGCATTAAGGTCACATTTATTTAGCTCCATAGGATGGAAGATATTAAGAGTACGAAAAAATTATTAGTGTAGTAGTATTAAGTTGGAGATGTAGGATAAAGAATATTTGTTTGTACACTACCGAATTAATAAATTATAGATAGTATTAAGGCCTCGTTTGGCAAGAGGCTATTTTAGTCAATTAGCCAAAAAGTTACTAAATTAGTCAAAAAGCCAACAACCCATACCAAAAAGTCAAAGATTCTCTTTTCTCTCTACTTTTTGCACATCTTTTCGTAATTAGCCAAAAAGTTATCCCAAACATACAAGTTTTTTTTACCTACCTTTTTAGCCAAATAGCTAAAAAGTTACTAAATTAGCCTGTTCCCAAACGAGGTCTAATATATAAAATTAATAGTTTTTTAAGTTTTAGGGGTTGTTTGGGGTGTCCTAAATAAGTGCACTTTTTGTCTTTTTGAACTAAAAAATTGAGGAAGAAAATATAGATGTTTGGGTTAACTTTTTGACTTTTTCTAGAAAAATGTGTAATAAAAAATTGTAAAAATTAATTTGTAAGAGAAAATTAGAATTGAGAGTTGTGCAGCCATAATTGTTGACTTTTGGTGAATAGTGTTAACTTTTTAACTTTTTGAGTAACTTTTTGACTTTTTAATTTATTCTAGACTTGCCAAACTTGGCCTTAGTATTTTTTTAATATTATAATTATTTTTTTATTCTTAAAAATATAATTTTTGCTTAAAAATTATTTAAAATTTTACTAATCTTCTCACTCAATTTCTAATTACAACCCTCTCATGACTTTGATAGTCTTACCAAATGAAGGGATTACTAATTCAATGAAATAATTAAATCCTTTTACTCATATCTCTAACTAAGGCCTCGTTTAGAAACAAATTTTTTTAGTAACTTTTTAACTTTTTAGTTAAAATATGATATAAAAAAAAATTAATATATTTAAAATAACTTTTTGATTTTTTACGAAAAGATGCGCAAAAAATGAAGAGAAAAAGAAATCTTTGACTTTTTGATATAGATTGTTAGTTTTTTGATTTTTTTTAATGACTTTTTGAATTTTAAGCTAAAAAGTGATGTTGCCAAACGAGACCTAGGTAATAAGTCCAAAAAGTAGAATCTATTGGTAATTTACCCTAAAATACAGTAGGGGAAGATCTTATAGAAAAGACCAAAGAGAGTAATGTGATGGGTCAACAAAGACAACAGAATGCAAGCAAATTTAGCAAACAAAGAAATGGTAATGGTCAAGGATCATTTATTCATGCGACGAGTGTAGTCCATATCCAGTCTATGATTTCCCAAGCAAAGTTTGCAAACCCAGAACCAGTTAACACAGAAAAGTAAATGGATTCCAATCAACCATCCTTCGGTAATCATTTCTATACATATATAAAGCACATTTTATGTGATATTTTGATGCACCTTGACCTTCTTAGCAGCAAATTTTCCGCAGCAAAGATAAGAAGATAGTAAATTCTCCAACAAAACTTAACCTGGCCTAATCTCTGGACTTGTGAAGCAAACATGGATCATAAGATTTTATGACCACCTCATTGCCGCTAGGATGAGCTTAGGAAGTAAGTTAATTTCACAACTTTTTCATGTAGGAGTATAAGAAACAACATGAGGTGTTTTTGGGAGGCAATTATCAAATCATGGAAGAAGATGCAGCATCCTTGGTAGAATTCAAAATTGTCAACCTACCGAAGGAAATAATTGTATGGTGGGGGGTGGGTGGTGGTAGTGGCGGAAGACGGTGGTGGAAAATGGTGACAGTGGTGGCTAATGTTGGGTGGTAAAAAAAAAAAAAACTGAAAACTTAAAATGGAAACACATTTTTTGTGTTTTTATTTTTTGGCCAAATTTATAAACTGAGACCACTAATTTATAAATTAAAAACTTTATCAAACAAGTTTTTATTTGAGTTTTTTAAATTTTTGTAAATATAAACAGAAAATTGAAAACGTAAGTGTTACCAAACGGCATCTTAATAAAGAGCGAAATAAACGTGGCCTAAAAGCATACCATTTGACATCATCCAACCATCCTTTTTCTAGAAAGAGGAGAGAGCCGAGGAGAAGGCGTAATCATAATCAGAGACCAAGTCCCTCTGCATCTTACGCGCCATCATCGACAATGACTGCGTCCTCCTCCTCCCCTGCAACTGTCTATACACACCCAATCACCTCTTTACACGTGTCTGCTCAACCCGAGATCGAACAGAATATTCCACGTGGCTGACCCCAATTCGCCATTCTCCATCCACTTTTCGTATGATCGAGTATATTTGTACTTTGCCCAGCACCAGCATACTCGTTCGTTGGTACGACTCAGTTACAATAACGTCCAAAACCATCTACAGTAGAGTAAGTCTTCCTCTCTCCTCCGCCCTTGGATCATAATCCTCAAAAAGAAGAAACAACGGTCCAGATCGAGGTTAGGAGGACTGTCCAATGCGAGTACGAGACGTGTTTTTAAAGTTACTACTTTTTGCTTTTACTGTTTTACTGCTAATAATCACTTAATTAGAATCCTAATTAATATAATTATGTCTTAATTAATTACGGTTTTAGGAAAATCTATTTCCATAAACCAAAATACCTGGTCCAAATCATTCCCCGATATAAAACATCTCTCTCTCCTATTAGGGTTTCATCATCCTCCATTGCTCCTCCATCCTTTTCCTGTTTCCCCCTAACCCGATCACTCTCTCTCTCTCTCTCTCTCTCTCTCTGATTGATTGATTTTGGGTTGATCGAAGTTTTGATCTTCTTGTACTTCCCTTTGGATTCACTGGTTTTCTTTAATTTCACACTTTGGACAATCTTGTGAGTTCTTGTCACTCTCTCCTTTTTCAACCATTCTTGGGTTCAATTGGGGTGTTTTCTTTCTGGGTTTTTAGTTTTTTTGGTGATTCTCACATACTACATCAGCCCATTTCTGTTCTAGGGTTCAATCTTGAACAATTTTTGAGTTTTTTTGTTTTTGTCACTCTCTCTGTTTTGAGCAAATTGGAATTTTTACTTCAATTGTGAACTCATTTCAGTTCTAGGGTTCAATCTTGCATTATCTTTTTGAGTTCTTGTCACTCTCTTTCTCTCTCTCAGCACTTGTTGGATCCAATTGGGTTTGGGTTATTGTAATTCGAAGTATTTGAATACATACATAAAATATATATTGCTAGTGTTGTGTAGTTGACGTGAAAAATGCCAGTAACAGATTATCAAGGTTCATCTGCTTCTTTCTCAAATTTCGGCCGTTCGATCCTGAGCATACGCCGCGATCAGGTTCATTCCATGGAAGCTACCCACGAGGCTACGGCCCAGGAGCTCGAGCTGGAGGCCTTCCAGAGAAATGTTGCAGACCGGTTTCACAATTTATCGGCTGTTTCGTCTGATGAATTGCTCTCACTGTCGTGGATTCGCAAACTTCTCGATGTCTTCCTCTGTTGTCAAGAGGAATTTAGGATGATACTATTCAACAACAAAGGGTACATGAACAGAGCACCGATGGATCGATTGCTTTCTGAATTTTCTGAGAGGAGTGTGAAGGCTCTTGATGTGTGTAATGCGATTCGAGAAGGGATTGAACAGATCAGACAGTGGCAGAAGCAATTGGATATTGTGTTGTGTGCATTGGACAACAATCAGAGGAGTGTCGGGGAAGGCCAGTTTCGTAGAGCCAAAAGGGCATTGGTTGATTTGGCAATTGGTATGCTTGATGAGAAGGACTCAAATTCTGCTATTGGACATAGAAACCGGTCTTTCGGGCGCAACAATGTGCAAAAGGATCACAAGTCTTTGGCCAATTTTCGATCGTTGTCGTGGAGCGTTTCGCGGAACTGGTCAGCTGCTAGGCAGTTGCAGGCTATTGGAAACAACTTGGCTGCCCCGAAAACGAATGAAATCATGGCAACCAATGGCCTTGCAGTTTCAGTCTTCACCATGAGCTCTGTTCTGCTTTTTGTGATGTGGGCACTTGTAGCTGCAATCCCTTGTCAAGACCGAGGCTTGCATATCCATTTTTCCATACCAAGGCAATTCATTTGGGCCATTCCGATTCTCTCACTTCACGAGAGGATTTTGGAAGAGTCGAAGAAGAGGAATCGGAGAAACACTTGTGGGTTGTTGAGGGAGATTCAGAAAATTGAGATGTGTGCCCGGAACATGAATGAATTGGCTGATTCAGTTCAGTTCCCATTGACAAAAGAAAAGGAGGGTGATGTGAGGCAGAGAGTAGAGGAGCTTGGGCAAGTTTTTGAAGCAGTGAAAAATGGATTGGACCCTTTGGAATTGCAAGTGAGGGAAGTGTTCCTCAGGATTGTTCGTAGCCGGACTGAGGGTTTTGACTCGTTTGGAAGGGCGAATCATCACAGGTAATGTGTCTGCACATTGCCTGTGGGCACTGATTGTAAAGGTTTTGCTTCCTTGGACTTGAAGAGAATGAATGGTATAGGCAATTTGACATTGCCAGCAAAATAAAAGGTTCAAGGAGGTGAAAGTTATTGTATTTATCACTATATATTTTGTATATGAATTGGATCTTCCTAGTCCATGGTGCTTTTACCAATGTAGAAATTCAAGTTTATGAGTAATTTTGCATATCATGATCTTCTTGTTTTTGTTTGTGGTGGATGTTACTCAGGCCCAAGATCAATTATTATTCTAGTTGGTATAACAATTTTGTGTGTGTTTGTAATATGAGTGTGTACATTGTCTTTTGATCTCTTTGGAGGAAGTTATAGCTGCCCTGTGAAATGAACAAGTTGTTGTAGTTTGAATGTGGATGGTCATTTCCTCATTTTCTTTTGTCCCTTGTTGTTTGATATTCTTATTCCAATGCCTTCTTCCAGAGAAAAATGAAAAAAAAAATTCCGTCTGAAAATTTTCTTGGTCTTCAAGCATGAAGTCCTAATGAAATGTGGGCATGTGTTTACTGCATTAGAATTGGTCGTCTGCAGCTTCATCTGTTGTGACTTGTGACCTCACAAATGGATAAAATATTCCAGAAGGTTTGAATTTTCCAATTCTAGTTAAGCTGGTAAAATGAACTAAGCTACTCGAGTTCAATTTGTGTTTGGTTTGTTGAAACTTCGTTTAAGATTATTTCCTTATATAATAAATAAGTCCAGATTGAACATATTTTTGAAACTCCTTATTTTTCTGAGTGTCCTGTTGGGTAAGTTCATATGCACTACAAGAAATTAATACACAACATAAAAAATTAAGGTGCCGTTTGGTAACACTTACGTTTTCAGTTTTCTGCTTATATTTACAAAAATTTAAAAAACTCAAATAAAAACTTGTTTGGTAAAATTTTTGATTTATAAATCAGTGGTCTCAAGAGAGTAGAGGAGCTTGGGCAAGTTTTTGAAGCAGTGAAAAATGGATTGGACCCTTTGGAATTGCAAGTGAGGGAAGTGTTCCTCAGGATTGTTCGTAGCCGGACTGAGGGTTTTGACTCGTTTGGAAGGGCGAATCATCACAGGTAATGTGTCTGCACATTGCCTGTGGGCACTGATTGTAAAGGTTTTGCTTCCTTGGACTTGAAGAGAATGAATGGTATAGGCAATTTGACATTGCCAGCAAAATCAAAGGTTCAAGGAGGTGAAAGTTATTGTATTTATCACTATATATTTTGTATATGAATTGGATCTTCCTAGTCCATGGTTCTTTTACCAATGTAGAAATTCAAGTTTATGAGTAATTTTGCATATCATGATCTTCTTGTTTTTGTTTGTGGTGGATGTTACCCAGGCCCAAGATCAATTATTATTCTAGTTGGTATAACAATTTTGTGTGTGTTTGTAATATGAGTGACATTGTCTTCTCTTTGGAGGAAGTTATAGCTGCCCTGTAAAATGAACAAGTAGTTGTTGTAGTTTGAATATGTGGATGATCATTTCCTCATTTTCTTTTGTCCCTTGTTGTTTGATATTCTTATTCCAATGCCTTCTTCTAGAGAAAAATGAAAAAGAAAATCCATATGAAAATTTTCTTGGTCTTCTTCAAGCATGAAGCCCTAATGAAATGTGGGCATTTCCTTGGGGGTTGGAAGTTTGTATTCTTTGCATCATCTTGATACTTTTCTAATAAAATTGCTTATTTATCCAAAAAAAATGTGGGCATGCGCTTACTGCATTAGAATTGGCTCTGGTCGTCTACTTTGAATTTGGTCATCTGCAGCTTCATCTGTTGTGACTTGTGACCTCACAAATGGATAAAATATTCCAGAAGGTTTGAATTTTCCAATTCTAGTTAAGCCTGTAAAATGAACTATAAGCTACTCAAGTTTAATTTGTATTTGGTTTGTTGAAAGTTCATTTAAGATTATTTCCTTGTGTAATAAGTAAGTCCAGATTGAACATATTTTTGAAACTCCTTATTGTTCCGAGTCCTGTTGGGTAAGTTTATACACACCACAAAAAATTTAGCAATTCAAGTACGGCTCAATTAAATGCCATTTGAGATTGACTCGAAAAATAAATAAACTAAAAGCCAGACATATTTTGAAACTTGTTTGTGTTTTGTAAATTGAGTTTGACCACTTAGCTCAACTCGCTTGTTTAAGGTGATAACTCTATCTTTGTTTTGTTTGTAGACCCGAGACATAGTTTTATTCGGGAAATGAACTTTATTCTAAAAAAAGAAATTATTTGAACATTCCAAAGGATAGCTTCCTTCATGTGAATATGAAGGGTATTTTGACTGGCAGAAACATTGAACCTGTCAAACTTTCTTGAATTAGTTCTTCAGTTTATTATTTTTAACTTTTCAATTTTTTGTTTCTGAAAACACAAAACATGAAAATAAAAAATAAAAATGAAGAAAATAAAAATATAGTATTTTAACCAGCAGGTGCCATGAGAACTCGTTCTTGGAATTGTTCTGGGACATTCTGGTTATTCACATCAAAATCTAATCTTCATCTTCCTCAAAAAAAATAAATAAATAAATAATGAAGATATTTTTTCTCATTTTATATTTCTAATCAGCTGAACTTGTCTAAATTGTTAGTTTGGAATTGTCAAAAATGCTAGAGAATTGTTACTACCAAATCAACAATAAAACAAGAAAAATATTAGAGACCCACGAATAATAATAATAATAATAATTAATGAAGACATATTACAGCCAAGTGTTAACTATAATTGGATGCAACAATAGAAACCTGATCAATTCAACCTAAAACAATGGCAAACACAGTAGTGGTCTTTGTGCCTCATTAGTTCCTTGGCGAAACTAATCCAAAGCACCAGAAGATAAATTGAACAAAAAATAAAACATTACAAAACAAAACACTAACAACCTCATTAATATATAGCTTTAATTTTGTTCAAAAATTTTATCCCAAAAAATTACTATTATTTATTCCAAATCCTAACACAAAACCCACAAATTATTCAAATCAGTTTCCACAAATCTATATACAAAATAATCAAATCGGATAAATAAAAATAAAAATAAAAATATGCAATAAAAATGAGGGGTGGGTATCATTTTGATTAATGATATTAAGGTTAGCAATAAATTGCGTGGACAAATGTATGATAATTTGTGTTTACGTGTTGACCGATTGAATTGATTTATAGGTGAATTAACAAATTTTAAGCCACATACCAATTAATCCATCAATTTTTATCATCAAAGCTCACTTTTTCAAACCGCAAAAATTAATTTGAATCAGATAGCTCAACCTGAGTTGACAATTTTTTGTGCACACATCAGCAGCCTTGTTGGCAGAAACAGCTGCATCTTCAATAATGCATATGCAGATGAATTTGGAGCCATTTGGAGGATGGTCCTCAATACTCGTCACAAATTCACAACTTGACTAATGGTACACACATTTAATGCATTATGGTTTAATTGCCAAAAGTTTTGGTTGGTTTGGAGTTATGTCCCAATCCATCCGCATATATATGCGAATGAGTCATAATCATCAATCGCTGCCAAACTATGTGTAACGGTGGCTGGCATAACGTGCAATTACAAATATGCCACGTTCAAGTTTTAGCTTTGTTATATTTTTCTACCGAATATAGTGATTTAATTTTATTTATTTTTTGAAAGAATGAAAATTTAGTATTGGACCAAGAAATTTGACAGCAAACTCCTTTTGCTTGTTTGGGTTATGTTTCTTTTTCTTTTTTATATGCAAAAGTTAGTGATTAATTGTTAAATTAGCACCTAATTTATTCAATGAAAATCTGGATTCAATCTGAAATTGACCCAACTGCTATTCAAATTGATTGAATTCAAACTGATATATGATACATTCATATCCAAATCCAAATGTCAAGTTCAGCCATAGTAGGAGGCTGGTTCCAGCATTGTGAAAGGAAAGATCAAATTAAAGAAACATGAAAGATTGGTATGGGCCAATTTGGTTGCCCCAAAAAATGTGGATTGGGCTATTTTAGAATTACCCATTTAGAAATTAGATAATTGCAATGTCTTTGGTTGGAAAAATGAACTAACTTAAAAATGGACTATTTCGTTCTTTATGAGAAGTCATATCGAGCATATCCAGAGTTTTGTATAAGGTCTTTTTTTTATTTTTTACATATTTTTTTTTTTTTTATTTTTTTTTTTTGAACAGAAGTTTATGTAAAAGGTCTTGTTTACCATTTTTACACCAAAATGTTACAGTGACTTCAATTCTACATATAACTCTGTTTTTATCGTGTAGTAAGTGAGGAATGCACATATAAGAGGTTTACGAATGCACATATAAGAGGTTTAGGAATCACAAAGTCGACACAGCTTCCTGCCAAAGAAAATAAAACAAACAGATACAAGTAACTGACTTTTTAACTGTTTTAAGTGCCTCAACAACACCTTCTGAGGAAGCAAAGCACAGGTGCTTAGAGTCACATTGTTCCTCTGTTGAACTCCACCAATCCTCTCTATATTTCAACTCATTCAATCAAAATCAACCCCAATTAAGTCTTAGAAAATGGAGCGTGGATCAGGACACAAGATCTCCAAAATCGTAGATGATTTTACCTCGCTCGATCTTCAAATTGCCAAAGGGCAACCCGGTCCTCTTTTCATGTGTAGAGAAACAGACACCATGTTCATCCTCACTGCCAATCTGAGAGGTCTATCTTGCTCTCTCATTTCCTCTTTCTATTTGTTTCTAATGTATGTACATACTTGATTCTAAATGAACCACGATCAAAATGGTTTAGAGTAGATAAAAGGTATGAATTCTGCTATGGACACCAAAACTTATAGAACTGGACAAAGAATAAACTTTGATGGATAAGATTTTACAATGTTAGTGCGATCTACTTTTAAAAAATCTTATACATTCACAAACATATTCTGTCCAGTTCTATGACTATTTTTGTGTTGGTAAAAACTCTTTATTTTAATAATAGTTGAAATTCAAACAAATCCAGGTTATAAGCGCGAAAATATGAAGGTCAAGGTAAATGAGGATGGGGCTTGGATTGTAGCAAGTGGTGAAAGACCGGTTCAGGAGACAGTGATGGTAGCAAAGGAGGTGTACAAGAAAGAGATAAAGATGAGGGGATTTAGGAAGGCCTTCAAGATCCCCGATGGGACAATCTTGGATAAAATCAAGGCGGGTTTTGATGAAGAAGAATTGGTTCTGACAATTTCAATGCCAAAACTAGTGAAAGGCATTCACGGGATAAGGATTGAGGAAGTGAAAGAAGAGGAGGCTGCTAGAGGGAGTTTCAAGTCATTGCAAATCACAGCCAATAGGGTTGATGAAAGAGAGACATTGCAGCAAGAAGAGTATAGAGAACCAGAAAGACAAAACACAACTCAAGATGTTATAGAACCAAAGGAAAGAGAGAGAAAGAGAAAGAGAAGAACCTCGGTGACCAATCAACTCAAGCAAGCCCTCCATCTGAGAAAAGGTCCAAGCAATGTGTTCCTATCATGGCAGCAGGATCAGCCTTTCTTGTGTCTATTATAGTTCTTGTCATCCACTTGGTTAGAACTAAAACCCCACCTAGCAAAAAGAAACAATAGAGCCAAAAGACAATGGCTTTATTTACTATGTTTTTAATGTTAAATGTAAATATAAAAGATCAAAGGGACTAATCATGCAAGTATTAGGAGCTCAAGCCCATTGTTGCATCCACACTTTGGGGACATGAGGCTTGTATTGCAATACTTGCAATATATGTGTGTGTGTGCTCTCTTCCACAAAAGAAATTCTCACCCAGTCTTCAATTACAGCAATTTTCATGACTTGGATTTTCTTTGTAGCAGGAACCATAACTGGCGGCAGAGAACAAACATCAGTGGAAATATCTGTTTCAACCAAAAAGAATTTTCCAGAAAAAAAATGCTGCCTTCTTTTCCAGTGAATCTGTTTTGCATCCCATACCATAGATCACCGTGAATAAGTAGCTACCAGTTCATGGAGTCAACTCTCCAGAGGACACATGGTGGCTTTCGCTTCTCCACAACTGGAACCACTTTTTCAATGAGCTGCACAGAAAGTGAATTAATTACAAAGTCAATATATAACACACTATATTTGTTACCTTCTATCTCCTCTTATCCCTTACTAATTTAAGATGTTTGTACCAAAACCACAAAGCTCTTGCTTCAGTGGCTACTACTGTTGTTTAAAACCTTGAATGTGACAACAAACCAAAACAAAAAAAAAAATCCAATTACAGTAACTCAAGAACAACCAAAAAAAATTACGGGCTGCAAATTTCAAAAGACAATATTTACTTTGGCCAATCCGTTACAAAGAAAAGAGGGACTAACGTAATCATAGATTCCCCTGAAGTATGTATCACATATAGGCTTCTCACAAGAGCCCACGAGGACTAACCATAAGGTGGTAACTGGTAAAGATCAGAATATATCTACTATTAATATAGATCAATGTACACTATGAAGCACGGATACTCTGAAATGGCCCCCGTACGTATATCGGATATAGATACGCACCCGATACGGCGGGATATGTATCGGATACGGCAGAGAAGTATCCCATTTTTTTAAAAAAAATTTTGAATTTCGAATATATTTGGGATACGCAAGGATACTTCAGGGATACTTTCGGGATACAGCGCGGCAAAAAAATAATTTTAAAAACTTATAATGGGGGTCAAACTATAAAATAACAAAAGTAAGGTAAAATAAAACAAAAAAATCAATCAACCAAACCCTACCTAGGTCGCGAATAGCAGCCACAGAGGAGGAGAGGAGGAGGAGGAGTCTCTATCAACCAACCAGCAAGGAGTCGTCGATCAGGTTCACGAACAGCAGCTCGTCGATCAGGTTTGTCCCTCTCTCTCTCCCTTTCGCTCCTTCTCTCTCTCTCTCTCTCCCCCCCTCTCTCTCTCGCTCGATCTCTCTGGTCTAGATGGACAGATCTTGCTCGATCTCTCTCTCTCTCTCCCTCCCTCTCGGTCGATCTCTCCCTCTCCCTCTATCGTCTCTCGCTCTCCTTTTCGATATCTGTGTTTTTTTTTTGAACCAGTCCAGACAACCAGTCCAATCCCTTTCAATTTGTCTGGACTGGACACATTTTTTTTATGTTTTATTTTATAAGTATACTCTGAATGTAGACTGTAATCTGTTTTGGCCCCATTTGATATATAATTTTTTTTTTTAGTATACTTTGTAACCTGATTGGGCCTAATTTGATATATCATATATATATATATATTAGCTTTTATATTTATAATTTTTTTGATTATTAGTTTAAAAGAATTAAAATAAGTTGTAAATGTGTTTGGTTATAAAAAAAATTTGAACTTTTTTTCAAAAAAATATATTGTCTTTTTTGGGCCAAATTACTTGAAAAATCAAATAAATTATAATTTACAATTGCAACTAAACACCATAAATTAATTTCTTATAAGCAAGCAAATAAATAAATAAACTTATTAATAAATAAATGAATTTTGTAAGGCTCTGTTTGGAATGGTTTTCAAACTATGATTCCACCTCTTTACTTGCGTTCGATGTTTGTTTATGTTTTCCAAAGTTAATTCCACACTCAGTTTTGAAAATTCTGTCAAAGGCAAAAAAATTTGGGCTAACCGAATGTCCCACCAGTCGTCCGGCCGGTTGACCGGAATAGTGCAAATTATTATTTTTTTTCATTTTTTATTTTTGCAATTGACATATGTTAATTTTAATGTATTCGAAAAAAATATTTTCCAAATTTTAAAAAAAAAATTATGTGTTTTAATAGAATTTTGAGTTGTATGTTTGGTTATTATGAGTTGTAAGTTTTTGTATTAAATATCATATGTCACATCAAAAATTTCCTACTCAATTCAAAACTCTTTTCAAAACTCTTCCACCAAACAAATTTTCCACACTCAAATCATAATTCAAAAACTCACAAACTCAAAATACAACTCATACTCTCAAATCATAGTTAGAAAGCTCTACCAAACGCACCCTAAATTTTCCCCCCCTTAATTTGAATTGCATTATGGTTGTTATGGGTGATGTTATATTGTTGAAACTGCTAAAATTTAATTAAATTGATGATTTTTTTTTTTGATGTTTATGCCAAAAGATAACTTCATTAATGTTTTGTTTTATTTGTTTACCAAATTTATAAATTTTAGGAAATGAGTTCGGGTACGGGAAGTTTAGGTTCAACAAGTGGTACACCAATGGAAGAAGACGATCATGCTCCCTTTGGTTTTATGTTACAAAACTAGAAAAAATGGGATAAGGAGGTGGTAATACCAAGTTCAAATGCAATTGCTGTCAAAATGAGTACAAGGGGTCATACTTTAGGGTCAAAGCACATTTGTTAAAACTTTCTGGCAATGGGATTAGAGTGTGCCCCAAAGTGACTCCGCAACACCCTGTTAAAATGCAAAGGAAAATTGAAGAAGCCGAGAAGAGGTCAAAGATGGCTATGCCTAAAAAAGTTCCTTTACCACCTTCCACTTGCCAATCTACTTCAACAAGTTCAGGGCCTTTAGAACTGGAGGATTTAGGATGGAGGGGTATGAGCCAAGAAAAAGAAAGGCTACTGGAACTTCTGCTTTAGAAAAGGCATTCAACCCAGTTATTCGGGAAAAATTGCATTCTGAGATTGCTCGCATGTTTTATTCAGCAGGGTTACCTTTTCATTTATCAAGGAAACCATATTATGTTAGTACTTTTCAATTTGCTGCCAACAATTCAATTCCTGGTTATGTACCACCTGGTTATAACTCGCTGAGAACTACATTGCTTCAAAAGGAAAGGGCTAATGTAGAGAGGTTGTTGGAGCCAACTAGAGCATCATAGAAGGAAAAAGGGTTGAGTATTGTTTCAGATGGATGGACTGATTCTCAAAGAAGGCCCCTTATTAATTTTATGGGAGCATCAGAAGCTGGGGCAGTGCAATGTTCTTGAAAGCTATTAATTGTGAAGGTGAGCACAAAGACAAGTTTTTTATTTCCAACTTAATTAGTCAAGCAATTGAAGAAGTTGGACATCAGAATGTCATTCGAGTCATTACAGATAATGCTCCCTTGTGTAGTGCAACTGGTTTACTCATTGAAAGTAAGTCCCGAATATCTTTTGGACACCATGTATAGTTCACACACTGAATCTTGCTCTTAAGAATATTTGTGCTCCAAAGGAAACAAGGGGTACTACTTTTGCTTATGATGAATGTCACTGAATCACACTTTGTGTTGATGATGTGATGCTTATTAAAAACTTCATCATGAACCATTCCATGCGGCTAGCTATTTTCAATGAATTCGTACCTTGAAGTTGCTTGCTGTTGCGGACACACGTTTTGCATCTGTCATTGTCATGCTCAAAAGGTTTAAACTTATAAAGCATGGCCTTCAATCAATGGTTATTAGTGACCAGTGGGTTTCTTACAAAGAAGACGATGTTGGGAAAGCAACATATGTGAAGGAAAAATTATTGAATGATGTGTGGTGGGATAAGATTGATTACACTTTGTCTTTTACATTGCCTATCTATGAGATGCTTAGGTTTTGTGACACTGACAAACCATGCCGTCACTTAGTCTATGAAATATGGGGCACCATGATTGAAAAGGTGAAGGCAAGCATCTTTAGGCATGAAGGGAAGCTAGATCATGAGCAATCAATCTTTTATTCCGTTGTGCACAATATACTAGTTGAGAGGTGGGCCAAAAGTAACACTACTCTTCATCGCCTTGCACATTCTTTGAATTCGAGGTATTAACTTAATTCATGCTCTTACTAATTAGATTTCTTTGTTGACATTTGTCTTTTAATATGAATAACATCATTTAATTTTGAAACTTTCTAATGTTGTAATCTAGGTATTATATTTCAACGTGGCTCAATGAAAATCCCAATCGTGTCCCTCCTCATAGGGATGAAGAAATTTCAAGTATGAGAAACAAGTGCTTCAAGAAATACTCTCCAAATTTAGAGGAGAGAAGGGTTGTAAATGTGGAATATGCCAAGTTTTCAAGAGGTTTGGATATGTTTGGAGATTTTGACTCAAAGTTTGATAGAGGAGTATTGGATCCACTTATTTGGTGGTTTACACATGGGTCTCCTGCTCCTATGCTTCAATCTTTAGCATTAAAATTGCTTGGCCAGCCATATTCCTCATCATGCTGTGAAAGGAATTGGAGCACCTACTCCTTTATTCACACCATGAAAAGAAACAAAATGACATCACAACATGCTGAAGATTTGGTTTTTGTGCACAACAATCTTCGTCTCCTATCAAGGAGAAGTCGACAGTACATTGAAAGAGAAACCAAGTTATGGGATGTTGGTGGAGATGCTTTTGATTCATTGGAGGGTGCAGGCTTACTTGAAATTGCAAGTCTTTCCCTTGATGAACCAGATATGGAAGCTGTGATATTCATTGATGAAGGGGAACAAGTTGAAGCTATTAACCTTGAAGACTCTTAGCTTCATAGGAATCTTTCTTTTTTTATCAAGTTGTCTTTTGCTTGAGGTTTTTATTTTTATGCATACTACATTACTAAAAATTGTAAAAATAATATTTTTTATGCTATATTTTTATGTATCAAGTTGTCTCTTGAACGTATTCCCGCCGTATCCGTATCCTAGTTTTTCAAATTTTGTCGTATCGCCGTATCCGTATCCGTATTCGTATCCTGTATCCGTATCCGTGCTTCCTAGATTGTACAAGATTGGCTAGAAAATTGAAAAGCTTTCTTGCCAAGCCCATACAAAAATCTCACACCTTCAACAATATTTTGTTTGTCCAAAACATTGTGAGGGAAAATGCCACCTAATTTTCAAAGAAGATTTTTAAATCCTTTATCACAATTTCACATTCATGTGGATGAAGAAACTTAACTTTAGAGACAAATAAAACATAAAATTCCCAAATGCAAAACTCTACACAATCTACTTGCAACTCTTTTAATTCCATTCAATTATATCCATGGAGTGAGAATTTGTTCATGAGGCCACTAATTTACTATCTATGATTGTCCTACATCACATCTACAGCTGCTAACTTAAATAGATACACTCCAACTCCATTCAAAGACGATTTTACTTCAAATAGTTTGTCCTTGAACTAGACCACCACAGCTTTCAGACTATATTCCATGACAACAATGAGAAGCAAAAGAGCATAGATATCAGAATTGATTACATACCTGCTTAAACCTTTCCTTGGTTCGCTCAGCCTGCAATAATAAAAAAAAACTTTTGTTAGTTCATTGGTTCAGTCAATGCAGGACAATAAACAATTTTTTTATGTCACCCTTGCCATAGCTCTGGCAGGGGTGACATCACTCGAGCATTAAAATACCACCGATCACACACAACATTGCAAAACTGGAAAGTACATAAAACAAATTTTAAGATTTTTAACTTCTGCATCCCCAATTAATTCGTTCACAAATACAACCCTACAGCCCACATCAAATGAAAAGAGGAACCCAAACCCACAACAAAGCACTAAAAATTCCACCCTTAACCACTTATTATCCAACTGAAACTTTAGAAGATTCATTCTTGCTAGTACTCCAAATGTCATTCATTTATGTCCATGCAAAGAAGTGGCCGCATGAACAGTTACAAATTAAAAAATTGCACAACTGCAAACAAAAGCTTCTTTGGTCTTCGGCAAAAAATATAAAATAAAAAAAATTATTAAAGCAAATACACTCCATAAGCAACCATAAATTATCATGAACCAATAAAAGAGCAGCTGGGCAAAAAAGAATTATATCAAAGGACACTATTGAGTCATCATATTTAACTACATTCTTAGTTCACTTCATATTGTCATTTATGCAATATTCCCTTGTCATATTAGTGCTCAAGATTGCAATTATTGGTGCTTATATATGAGAAATCGAGAATAATTAGCATAAATAATTAATGTAAGAAGGGAGTAACCCAATTATATTAAATGCAACACTGCCTAAAATTACAAAAAAAAATTAAAAACAAAAACAAAAGGAAAAAAAATATGGTATATATAAGAGCAGGGGTTAATTTAGAATGTGTATTTGGCATGAATACTTTGAACAACTCAAACAAGGATATCATGCCTGGATAATAAGCTAAGGGGTCCATATAGGGCATGTAATTGAAGTAAATACTTTAAATAGAAAACAATGATAAAATGCTTTGGCTCAGACTTCTTTTTCTTTTTTACTTTTGTTGCAAGGGGGTGTTGCCTACCGATTTGAGTCAAACTAGTCCAAAAGATGCACGTATTCACTACAAACCACATGCATTGGGTAAGCCAAGTTAGAGTTGATGTTGAACCTCAGATGTCTAGTTCACAAGGATGGCCTAAGCCAACTAACGTACCCGTGCAGGTGCAGATTACCAGGAGTCCAGCTAGTGAATTAAAAAGTAGAGACTTAAGGATGCTTACAAGAATTATCTTAGACATCAAACAACAATTAAAAAAAATTGTAAGTTCTTCTATCAATGATATAACTAAATAATTTTAATAAGCACTAAAAAACAATATATTAATAAATTTAACTTCAGTAAGTCTTAAAACGTATATATCAGCAGCATAGATCACTACATTTAATATTATTCCCCCCATCTCACATGCACATGTACAAGCCAGAAGGTGTGTTATGTATTCTTCTCTCATACCAACAAACACATGAATAAGTAGAGCTTACAATAATGCTTCTCCTTAAAACTTGTCTTTAAAGACTTAACAAATAAATACTTCAACACACGTTTCTAACAAATTTTTGTTTGTACTAAACTATTCAAGATAGTTGACCCAAGGAGTAGAAAATTTAACGCATGTTTTATAAAAGACGTCTACACAATCAAAATAGGTACATAAGAACATCAGATATCAGCGAATTGACAATTCATAATTTTCAAAAGGTTCTTTGGTATGTCTTTTATAAAAATGTTGTAGTTCCATCAAAATTTGAGTAGTAAGTAGTCAGGGAGAACATAATGAAGCTCACAGTTTTTCAATTTTACTGCAAAGGACTGATAATGAATGCTCATTCATATAGAGCAAGAAGAGAGTGAAAGCCCCAAATAAATTTCAACTTCACTTACACTCCATTTGTTTGGGAAAAAAACATTTTTTAACGGAAAACAATTTCTACGAAAAAAAATTTCCAGAAAATATTTTTGAAGAAAACATTTTTCTATGTTTGGTGGAGGTGGTGGTGGGACAAAGGTGGAAGTAGAGGTGGTGGTGGTGATGGTGGCAGCAGTGGTGGTGGCAGTGGCAGCAGTGGTGGTGGTGGTGGTGGTGGTGTGGTGGTGGAGGTGATAGTAGAGGTGATGGTGTAGTGACATTGGTAATACTTTAGTCGAGAAAATGTTTTCCGTCTTTTAAAAATAGAAAACATTTTTTGTACAAATAGACTTGTTTTTAGTTGACCATGGAAAATGTTTTCCGTTGACTTTTATTTTCCATTTATACCAAATGCCAAAAAAAACAAAAAATATTTTTTATAAAATGTTTTAGGCCCAATCAAACGGAGCGTTAGCTAAAATCTAAATTATAATTCAAAATAGTAACATGATCTGGCATCTAATAAAATCAATCAAGCTTTGTGCCGCATAGTGTCAACCAATCAAGATGCAACTATGACTTGCCCAATAGATTAAAAGGGAGTACTGATTAAGATGGTTCAGTTGTGGTTACAGTAGTGACAATACCAAATAAGAAAATATGTGTTGTGTTGGTTTCCAATGTAATTCATGGCACTCTTTATCCAAAGAAGTAGGTTTTGACAAGCTGAAATGAAGCTTCCAGTGAGAAGACACTTGCATCTTACAATAAACTTGTAAGGTTCAAGGGTGAACGTAAGGCATGCAACAATTACATCACTGGCAAAAATCTGATCATTAATGAAATATGTCGTCACCCAATTACTTAAAAAATTCTATTCCGATTTTTCCAGGTGTTATATCAAGGTGAAACAAACCCAATTTCCATCCTCCAAATAAGGCCTCAAACTTGAAACATATTCACCAATACGTTCAACAGGGCGATAGTATTCAACATTACAGGCAAAAACAATTCTAGATAATTTTCAAGATTAAATATTTTACTCTCTTTCAGCAGCTTTTCATTTTCCTCCTCTAATTTCACTGCCAAATATTCTAGCTCAACTTGGTATGCCTACAATTCAAACCATGAAACCATACTCAGTCAATGTATTAACATCACAAAACAAAAGGTTTTCCAAAAAAACAAACATTTACCTGCTTTCACTACGTTGACCGGGCTGCAGACTCTCTGTTCTTAATCATCCTCCGCTGTCTCTGCTGTGCAGCTCTATCCAACAGCTCCAAAACAGCTCGCCTCTTCCCTCTTCCTCCAATCACTTCCACTCCATTCCCAAACCCTTCAAATGAATCAACACTCTGCTGCGATGGAAACCGACTCAGAGGCATGGGATCAAATGCCAAAAAACCTCCGCTCAACCTCTCTCCCAGCGGCGGCACCAAGCGCACCTTCACATCCTCCACCACCACCTCGGCCTTCGCCGGAAATTCCTCCAATGTCGTCACCTCATCTGGCGCCTCCTTCTTACACTCTCTCAGCTCCCTCCGACCAGCCACAATCTCCTTCCACACATCGCCCACCGTCTTCTTCGCCACAAAATTCGACCGAATCATTGGCGTCCCTCCGCCACGGCCGCCACCGTTGTACTCGTTATCACTAATCGCAGTCACGGCTCCGGCGGCGTCCAATAAAGTGATCTCGGCGTCAATCAGCGAGCTGTCGACTGTCATTGAGCCTAAATTGTTGCTGTTTTTGGTCAGTTGTTGATGATTATTGTGATTTTGGAGCTCAGAGATGATGGACGATGATTTTGAGGATGCTGAAGACGAAGTTCGATCCGAATTTCTCGAAGACGAAGGCACCATCACCTTCGAGAACAATCAAAATTGTCACTCTCTCTAATCTCCATCTCTGAATTTTTATTTCATGAACTGACGATTTTGATTCTCACTCCTAGGGTTTTGGATTAGGACTTAGATTGAGGAATTTGGAGGATATTCAATTTTCTACAACTGTGATCGACTCCTTACATCACATTGTTTGAAGAATAAAGTTAAGGAGAAAGAGAGGGAAGAAAGACCGGGAACCGAAGGAGGATTCTGGAAGTCTGTTACTATATGAATGGAAGGATAGAATAAGGGTGACCACTGTGGCCTGTACCAACTAACTTTTCTCGCATATATTCGGGTTACCGACCCGACCTGAATATTTACACAAACATTTTGTTAATATATGGGTTGGTTTCGGACGTGGGTTGGGTTTTTTTTACTCTTTTAATTTATGACTAAAACGTTTTATTTGGTATGAATTTTTTGGGTTATTTTGGGGGTGTTTGACAAGAAAAAAAATAACTTAGTTTAAGTTAAAATTCACAAAAAGGTAAAATAGGTTAAAATAGTTAATAAGATAAAATATCACATCAAATCTATAATCATTTCACTTTTTCTCTCACAAACATCACATCCAACCACAAAAAAATTCAATTATCTTCCTAAACACAAAAATTTTAACCTACTAAAATAGCCAAAAACTAAAATAGCCTACTAAAATAGCAACTTCCCAAACGAAGCCTTTGATTTTTTTGAGAGAACAAATAAAATAATTTTAATTTGAATATGATATTTTATTTTATTAATTTTTTAACTTATTTTTGTATTTTTGTAATTATTTTTGCCTTTTAACCTCAAAAATTTCCATTTCAAATGAGGGCATAATTTTTTTTTCCTTATCAATACATCTTCAACGCTTCATCAGATTTGAATAAAATCTTGATGAAAAGTTTGATTTGATATGATGAACTTCGATGATTTTATTAAATTTGGACAGTTAGTCTAGAATAAATTTTCATCAAATTTATCTCAAAATTGGTTGTCCGATAGGATGTTCGGACGAATGTTTGGCCCAACGGTCATCTAAAATTTTGATGAAATGATAAAACTCCTTTGATTTAATAAAAATAAATAAATCTTCTTCTATATGATATTAGTTTGATGAAAGAATTAGAGCTCACATTTTAGATAATTTTTTATTAAATTTAAATTTGATGATAAATTTAATAGGGGATTGGAGCCCAACCCGTACCTTTATTTTGTGCTTTCGGACAACTTAAATTGTTATAGTATTATTATTCTTGGTAGCAGTTTGTAGTGTTAATATTTGTTTTATAATATTATATTTTTGTTAATATTATTTTTAATTTATTTATAGGATGAAGTACTAATAAATTTCAAAATATATTCTTGTGAACTGTTTAGTTTTCTTCTTTTTTTTTATGAATCTAAAAGTTTCTTTAAAGTGAAAATTACATAAAATGGTAGTTACTTACATGTTTAAATTTAATTTTTGAAGAATAAAAGTGGGTTTCTCCAAATATAAAATTACACATTTGGACAATCTGCACTATAGGTTTTGGATTTTCTCTCTTTTTGAAACAAATCTCACATTACGAACGAGAACGTAAAATACTCCAATATAATACACTAAAAAAACTCCTTAATATATTTTTTCCCAAACGTAACAACGTAACCCTCTAAAAAAAACTCCTTAATGTATTTTTCTCAAGCGTAGCATTCCAATATAATACATTCAAATGCGACACACAAAAAATTCCTTAGTGTACTTTTTCTAAACGTAACACTCCAAGCAATGTAATTCTAAACGTAACACTCCAATATAACACACTCCAATATAACACACAAAAAGCATTAAAAAACTCCTCAGTGTACTTTCTTAAAACATAACACTCATAATTTGAAATTATACATTTGCCCAAAACTTATTAAGGCATTTTTGTATTCTTTTTTGAATGGTTTAAAGAATCTCACATCCTTTTTTTAGAGTGTTACTGTCACGACCCGCTCCCCGTACCCAAGGGGTAAACATCGTGATGGCCAGTAACTGAGGTTACCTCCAGCCAAATCATAAACAAATTAATAAATGCAAGCGGAAGTAAAACTTAAGTAAGGGTACCACAATAATCATTGGAGTTTCTATTTTTATTACAAAATTTATTTACCAAAAAGGTCGATATTTACATATAAAAATATCATAAAGGTGCCGTGTGTGTGTGTCTATCCTGCAGCCCCGCATCTAAGACTTTCCAAAGGCTATTTCTGAATTGCATTGGTTCCTGAAAATTGGTAAACAACTATAAGCACATGGCAGAGTGATAAATATTATGCCAAGAGTATAAGGGCACGAAATAACCATGGATAGTTATGTAGCCAAAACATTTACATAACTCAGTTTGGTAAATAAATCATTTAAGTAGCAGAAACTGAAATACAGATATTATGTAAATATATCACCATAACCACAGTACAGAACAGAGCAGAGGTCACAGAAGTGACAGTCAGAACAGATGTATGGATTCAAGAGGTGGCTCGTACGGATTCTAGAGGTGGCTCCCACAATAGTGTAGCACTTAGCTCCGTACAGCACTTTGGTCCGCACAGAACAGAGGTACGAATTCAATAGGTGGCTCGTACGGATTCTAGAGGTGACTCTCACAATAGTGTAGCACTTAGTTTCGCACAGCACTTAGTTTCGCACAGCACTTTGCTCCGCACAGAACAAAGGTCAATGGATCAGAAGGCCACAAAGTGGTCAAACAGAAGCCAATGATTATTTAAGTCTCCCAAGGCGTGGGACTTCCGTGGTAACACTTACAAAACATAATTGTATATAAGGTCATAATCAAATATTCTTTAAAATATAAACAAACATATCCATGGGTTTCACTTTCACAAATAGGGTTCAGATAATAAAACTACGTAACTGAAATCTTTATAAAACATAACTTTTATTAATATATTAATAAAACATAATTTATATAACACGAATTTTGATAAGTCAAAACATACTTAAAATACATTTTAATAACTTAAAATATAATATAATCCACTTTAACTTTAATATCTTATTATTACTTTTCACTATCACATATCCTTTCAACTTCGGCTATTATTTCCTTCGTCTCTTTTCTTTCTTTTCTTTCCATCTCTCTTTCTTTCTTCTTTCTTTTCTTTCCTTTCTTCTTTCTTTTTCTTTCTTCACGCACGTTGATCAACGCCTCCCTATTTAAGGAAGGAGGACGCCACAGGCGCTCAACACGTTGCAGGCATCGCTTTCACTCATATTTAATTCATAATTATATATATTTATTCTTATTTTTAATAGATATTTAAGACAATTAATTTTTGACTTAACATTTTAATATAATTATATAAATAATTTAATTTCTAATTAAATTACACTCTATCGTATACCAACATAAAATTAATTATTTATTTTACTACTACACCTATTATTATTATTTATATTATCTATATTATTATTATTTATATTTTGACCCCTAAACTTGTAATAATTATATTATTTTACAAAATTACACATAATAATATATAATAAATTATATGTTTTCCGAACTGAGATTAAATAATATTAGTATAAATTCTATAGAATAATTAAAAATTTGAGTTGTTACAATTACATTTGGAAAAAGTACAGTAAATTTTTTTTTTTTTTGTGTTACATTGGAATGTTACACTAAGGAGTTTTTTTTAAAGTGTTATATTAAAGTGTTACGTTTCAAAAAAGTACACAAAGAGTTTTTTTTGGAGTGTTATGTTTGAGTATTACATTAGAATGTTACAGTTTGAAATTATACATTTGCCAAAAACTTACTAAGGAATTTTTATACTCCTTTTGAAATGTTTGAACAATCCCACATCTTTTTTAAATGTTTGAAAATTTTTATATTTCAAATCATTTTTATATTCATTTTAAAATATTTGAAGAATCTCACATTTCAAGTCATTCTAAATAAAAAATGATTTTCATATAAAAATACGTCCTAAATTTGATTCTTATAGGTTATTTATTTACCTTTCTAGCCAAAAAATTAAAAAATAATATAAATAAGGTTATAACTGTAAATTTAATTTTCGAATAATATATTAGGAGACTTACAGGTAGATCCTAATAAGTGGATTTATTATTCAATAGGTCCTATGATAATTAATGACATTTTTCATTAAACACTATTTAAAAAATGTTACTAATTGTCACAAAAAAATGTCACTAATTATAAGTTTTAGCGATAGTTTAAAAAAATCGTCTCAAAAAAAGTGTCATTAATTCACAATTTTCAGCGACAATTTAAAAAGTTCATCACAGAAAAACGTCACTAATTGTAAGTTTTAGAGACAATTTATAAAAATCATATGACAACAAAAAGTCACTAATTGTCAATTTTTATCGACATATGTAAAAAATCGTCACAAAAAAATTATTTTTAGTAACGATTTTATCAAGACTAATTTTCAATAGGACTTGATGGAAATTAAGTCTAATTATTAGGACCTATTGATAATTTACCCTAATATATTTATCTTTTCAAAATTAATGAGACTAATTAGTCTATAAGAAAATTATTTAGACTAAACTAATCACCATTTCTCAAGATGAAATTTATATGTTAATTTTCTTTATTTATAATTATAAAATAATAAATAATGTAACTCTATTGAGCCAATGACAGAGAAAAACTTATCCAGACTAATTGTGGAGCAAGTCACAAATAAAAAAACACGTTGTATGGTTATCCTTAACAGAGAAGTTGATTGGAGGGGTCGTTTTCCAATTTAGATGGTTAGCCCCAACTCTCTTACTTAGGAGATTATTATATTCAAAAAGATTATTTTTCTTATTTGGTGCAAATTTTCAACAAATTTGTTTTTTATTGGATAAATTTTGTAAACATATGTAATACTTCTAATACTGTGACGGTATAGGAACGATCTCACGTTTGGTGTACTTTTAAAAATGTTTGGGCAAATTACATATATTCCCTTCGAAATTTAGTAAAATTATAGATACCCTCCTGAGGTTTGAGAAATTATAAATACCCCTTGAAGGTACTATTTACATAACAAATTAGGAGTAAATTGTTATGAAAATATAAATCTCAGGGGGCAATTTGTTATGAAAATATAAACCTCAGGGGTATCTTAATTTCCAAAATCTCAAGGGGATATCTGTAATTTAGCTAAATCTCGAGAGAGATATATGTAATTTTCCCTTTATGTTTCATATTTGGGGCCCTATTATTGGATTCGATTCTATCAAAATATTAGCCCAAGGTTGAATAGTGGTTCGATTTGTACACAACCTGAGGATTCTATTTAGGAATTTTTGGTAAAACGTCTCTTCCATTGGACCTATTTTGTGTGAAACCCACGGAATAAAACAATGGCTCCAAAAGCCCCTCAATTAAAAAAATATCATGAACTAA